CGCACAGCATGTAACGGACAAGGATATAAGTTCAGCGTACCGGAGTGCCTATGCTGGAAATCTCCTCTCGGAGGTATGCATCAATCTCCCGTTTTGAAAGCGGTCGATCATTTTCACTAGTTCGTACGTTACAGGTCGGGCGGCCAACCCTGCCGAGCGATCATTTTCTCTTGAAAATGATCGCCCGCTTTCAAAACGGGAGATTGATGCATACCGCCCCTGGTATCTTTCTCTTGTAAGCTAAGTCATACTTCCCTTTACCTCATTATCTTAATCTTTCATCTAGTATTATTTTGTTCTTATCGTTAAAAACTCTTGCCTCATCTGATGGTCTATCATACTATGTTCTTTATATTAAGTTCTAATTGTGTCCCTCACTTTTACCTTAGATCTACCTTACACTTTCCACTGAACTTCTCTATTCTCTCTACCTCCTGGGTATTGGATCAAGCTTGCAAATCATATCATAACTTGCCTCTTAACGACTACACAGAATGCTCTAATTTCGCACCTTTTGAATGTTCCGAACAGTCGTGAGATGAGATCGTTAGTGGCAAAATCTGAATGCGACAACTATCTATGGCTTCTTGACTATTCGTTTTCTTTATTCACTCTGAGTTGCGGGCGACCCAACGAAAGATAACCGTTTCTAGAGTATTTCATGTTAGATTCTCTTTTATCATGCATTCGCGCGCGGATAGTGGTACAATCTATGTGAATCACATGCTCCCTTCTCCGTGGTAACTACGCATGCGCAGCGCGTGGACTTTGGACAGCGGTCTCCGGTCGATGCGGCGATCTTGAACGCTTAAAGGCAGTGTCCGGGCAAAAAGTCGATTTTGAGATTTTGTGCTTACCCGGTCCTATTCACTATGCTGAATCCGAAAATCCACATTAGAGAGCGCGAAAACAGCGGAAAAGAACTCTAACGCAGGAGGGAAATCAGAGGTGGGCGGGATTTTCCCCACTGCGGATTCACGCTCCAAGCTCCCGGAGCGATCTTCTCGGCCCGATTTCAAGTCATGCATTTGCACCTGGCCTGTGGATACTCAGGACGCTAGCGGAATTGATAAAGTCGCTTCAGAAGCCGGGACCGCGAAATTCACAGTGGGGAAGACCCCGCCCACTTCTAATTTCCCTCCTGCCTTAGAGCCCTTTTTTGCCGTTTCCGCGCTTTCCAATGTGGATTTTCGAAGTCAGTCTGGCGAATAGGCTCGGGTAAGCATAAAATCTCAAAATTGACTTTTTGCCCGGACACTGCCTTTAAAGGCACCGTCCATCCAAATTGGGGTTGGTGAGATTATGATACCTAGCAGCTGCGGGGCCCCCAACTGTATGATTGCCGAACTGCGCTGCCCAAAGTTGCTCCCGAAACGAGGAATTTGCTTCGGAGATCGCTTCAGGTGACGGTTCACCACGTTGGCCCCTCCCCTTTCGGCTGGGCGTGACGTTCGTCCCGCCCATCCGTGCGCGCCCAACCAATCACCTTCCCGAAGAAATCTCTTTATGGGTCCTGAAAAGAGGGGTTTTTCGTAGTTTTCGCAAATTTTTACGTTATTCGGAACTAGGGCTATGAGAAGGCCCAGGAACGGCAAAAACTTGGAGGTCGAAATTTTGGGTGGACTGCTTTCAAGTGATATGCTCGCGAACGCGGCACGGGTCTCTGGCGTTGCGCTTGACCTGGTCGGAAAGGGAGCACAGCATTGACACGAACTGCAAGAATGCGCATGACTTATGAACCCACTCGCGCACAGAACGTGGAGGCTCGTCAAAGGCTGGAGCAGCTTGGCTATAGTAAAGACAGCAAGGTCAACGAGAAACCGTTGACTTCAAGCGACCGAAGATAAAGAAAGGTGCCCATAAAGAACCCTCTTTCGAAACATCAAGAACAGACGAAAGAAGGAAAGGAGCCTCAATCAAAGAAATGACGGAGGAGGGCGTGGACAGAAGGAGACTACCAAAGAAGCCGGACGTCATGTATATTCGGGATCTGATAAAAATGTGCCTGGAGGCTAAGCCTCACATATTGAACAAGGATAATACCAGAGTCAAGCGAGAGGTGTGGCACACGATTGCTGGTTACGACGCCCCCCCCCCCTCCGACTGCTGTCTCAATAAGACCCCCCCCCCCCTCTGAACTATATACCTAAGATAGCATCACTTGAACGCCCTGTCACAGATAACGGGCAACATATCCATAATCAGCATATCAATTAACCTTGTAAACAACGTTTGAGCGAATTCTGAAGACTTAAGATTTTAGGCCAACTAAGAGAAATGTTCATTTTCCAACAAGATTAACTTTGTTTCAAAGATGAATTAAATACCGTTTTAGCGCTCAAAGCAAAGCACTTCTCCTTCTTTGTCCATCTCAGAAATCCCGCTTCAAAAGAGCTCCAAACTGTGGAATTAGAAGCCAACCAAAATCTCATTTTTCCCATTTTTCGCTTTTAATGGCTGCGCTTTCACCAAATATCACTCAGAGCTAAGAAGACGAATCAGGCTCAAATCACTCCTATGAAATCTACCAGATTTATCTATTCATATAAGTAACGTTCGCTAAAAATGTTTTTTTGATGTAGCTGATGGGGTATGGCACAACCCCTTAAAAGCTGTGGCGGCCACACCTTTTGAGGGGTTGTGTCACACCCCATTAACTATATCAAAAAACATTTTTAGCGAGCAGTATTTATATGAATCGATAGCCTAGGCCTCGTAGATTTCGTAGGAGTGATTTGAGCCTGATTCGTCTTCTTAGCTCTGAGTGATATTTGGTGAAAGCACAGCCATTGAAAGCGAAAAATGGGAAAAACAAGATTTTGGTTGGCTTCTAATTCCAAAGTTTGGGAATCTTTTGAAGCGGGATTTCTGAGGTGGACAGATAAGAACTAGTGCTTTGTCTTGAGTGCAAAAACGGGTAGCTAATTCATCTTTGAAACAAAGTTAATCTTGTTGCAAATGAGCATTTTACTTAGGTGGCCTAGTATCTCGAATCTTCAGAATTCGCTCAAACTTTGTCTACAGGGGTTAATTGACATGTTAAATATGTATTTGATACTTTTTAAGCTTCGTAGCACCTCTTTATTATGCTGAGGTAGTCAATCTGCATGTCCTTGTATTTCGCATAATGGAATTACCTGACAAACTGCCTTCGAACATCATGCTATCACTATTATCAGGTTGCTCAACTACGACCCCCTCCCTCCCTGTCGACTCCTCAATACGACGCCCAGGTGTGGCGCGCCACACCCCACGCTTGACCCTGGATAATACTATTGGCGAGTCTCAGGGGGTGACACTCCTTCGAGGAGCGGCGTGTGATGAAAAGTTCGATCGCGCTAGCTTTTCTTTGCTGAACTGTATTTTTCGTTCTCCTGGTTTGAATATTGTTTAGTCCCGCTTTGCCCGCTCGGGTCAGGACCACTCGCCGACTAGGCGTTTTAGGGAACGGCCATTGGTTGTCGGTGTTGTCGATGTTGTCGGTGTTGTCGGTTTGTCGGGGTTGCCGGGGCTGCCGAGGTTGCCGGTCGTTGCACCTCATGATAGCCTCCACGTTTCGCACGCTCTTCAAACTGTCTCTGACGTCGACAACCGCGACAACCGCGACAACATCGACAACATCGACAACACTGACAACACCGACAACATCGACAACACCGACAACACCAACAACACCGACAACCTATGGCCGTTCCCTTAGGGGTGTTCATGTAGTGCAACATGCCAAAGGCACCCGCCATACTTGATCCGCTTAATCCACTTGATCCGCTTCGCCATTGGAATTCAGTAAACTGACCAATAGCGAAGCGGATCAAGCGGATAAGCGGATCAAGTATGGCGCGTGCCAAAGATTCGGATTTCGATCGTGACGCTTAACGGGCGGGCGGTTACTTTGTTGCCCATTATCTTATCTGTGCTGATTCTTTTTGACGTGTCTTGGATAAAATTGCTGTTAGCTCCGGGGTAATACGTCTCCAGGAAAAGAAGAGGGACCAACGATTCTTTCTTTACAAGTTTTGTATCATCCGCTGCCAGACTGGCGCTAGGAAGTAGCGATGGTCAGTCGATAATCGATTTATCAACTATGTTTTAATACCTGGACAATCGCACCACCGCTCGAATCCGCCTTCGCGGAAATATGGGAGACGATGGTACGTCATTTCTTGCCGTTTACCGCCCTCTTCAAAGTCTGGGCAACGTTTCAACGTTGAAGCAGTCTTTACGCACTCCTTTAACCTTTGCTGAGTTATTCCATCACTTATCAAAACTATCACAGCGTTCGTGATAAAGATTTACGAGTTGGCGTCAAATTTCCACTTTCGTTGAAAGACCTAAGCACATACAAGGTTTCGTTTTCATGCAGTGGTGAGTGCATAGATGAGTCACCTATTGAATAGTCACAAGCTTTGCCTACTTGACGAACCATAACGAAATTTTAGAAATTTCTGTAGGCCAAAACGGTAGGATTTCCCCTCATACCGAAAATCAATTTGAGCACTCCAGATTGTTTGAATCTGACATCTTTGGCCATGTATATGGTGGAATCGAAATCAACTTTGTGCACAGCAGTTGCATATCTTGCAGCCAACTTCACTTCGTTTCTTCAAGAGATGATTTTCTAAGAAAAAAAATCCATGAAGAGATGGCTGTCCCAATTCACTGCACTTCATCATCATCAAAAAAAAAAGGTTGACTATCTGAAGCTCTTCACACTCCCGCACAAGTATGAAGAAAAACCTTAGACTGTGATAAAACTGCTAGGAAGTTGGGATATCCAAAACCCGGTGAAATAATCTCGCCCATCCGTACCTTTTCTCCCCAGCAAGAGAGTTCGTCAGTGAGAACATAAAGTTGCCCCTCTTCATCTCCAACCTGGCGGAAGCTGCTCCACAAAAATGCTCAACATAATCCCTGAGAAAAACTTAACTTGTTCTTGTGAGTAGACTTTCGATTTGACATGATGAAGAAGCTCAAGTAGCGACAAAATTGGAAAGCTTTTGATGTAAAGAATTGTCATGAAAATACAACATTCTGCAAAATATACATTCGACAGATGAAAAAGACGTAATTATCATAGCCACAATAACTCAAAAACGCCTTACAGCTGATAGGCTACAGTGGTTTATTGCAGATTGCAAAGGACAAAAAAAAATGCTCCATAACCTCTAAAACTCTACTTTCAAGATATATTATTCACAAACATCATATTATCGGTCCAAAACATGTGTATAGTACATCTGAATTAGGGCATGTAAAGCAATTACTTACAACATACAAAGGAAATCACATCACATCTAGTCACTGGAATAAATATCAACCGATAAATTAAGAGAACCTTGCACAACTCACGATACACGAGTCTATGGCTATAATCGCTATCTTAGAACGGTCGCGCTGGTACGATAGGTCGTGCTGGAACTTGAGGCGCTCCGTTGCTGGGAGTGGGTACTCGTCTGAAATGTGCCGCGAAAATTCAATTTTACACTGAAAATTTAGCGGATTCCCACCCTGCAAAACCAAGGATGACCTGATAGACCCAAAATAGAAAAGAAGTTCAGTTTCAAAGCGAATCTATGGGGCAAATATCAAACAAGATTCAAAAGAAACCTGTCGGTCGATTTATTGAGTGCGGCAACTAAATTTTCATGCTAAATTTCGATATTTTACGCTCATCATTTGACTCCTAAATCTGCACATAATGTCTCAGTCAGAAACGTATGATATTTTCCGTATTTTGATTTGGTATGCTAGATCACGACAAAGAAATCATGATTCCTGCTAATCAACAACATCCACACAACCACCACAATCACTGAAAACGCAAGCTCTTCAAATCTAACATTGCAAGCGGAACCGGCATCTGACTCCGTAGATCATAATGTATATCTACGAGATGAAAAAATTCTAGTCTCAGCACGATATCATACCCACCATTCCTACTTTGGAGGACCCATTCCTGGTGGAGGTCCACCCGGACCAGGACGCCTATTTCGAAAGAAGATGATAGACAGAAAAAGAAAAACACTATAAAATATCAAAGTGACTCACGTGGGAATCAGTGGAGGAGGATAACCTCCCATGCCAGGTGGAGGTCCAGGAGGACCGCGATGGGGAGGAGGTCCACCGGGACCGCCTGGGCGGGGTGGCATTGGTGCTTGACGTGCACCAGGAGGCGCAGGTGCAGGACGTGGTACAGGCGATGGCCCAGATGGCATAGGCCTCAAAAGATAAACATAACAAAATCGCAAAATTCATGAATACAAGTGAAAAAACTGAAGTAGTGGGCTTACCGATAGTCACTAGGAGGAAGTGGAGGAGGTACATCGCCAAGTGTCGACATGTTAACTTCAGAAATGATACGAAGAGCTTCTTTACATGCATGATACATCCGAAGCATATCTTCACGTTTTTGGGCTTCTTGCTGAGATTCCTCCATTAACGAGTCCTAAAATTTACTGTGATTGATGTTCACTGCAAATTTTTGTAACGATAAAGATTCTCGCAGATTGCGACATCACGAAGCAGCACCGTATCAAGTTGTAAAAGTCAAAATGCACGTCGAACAAAATTTTGTGCTAAGCGCATACACTCAGCTGAGCACGATAGAATATTCATTTTTGGTGTAAAAGGGTTCAATGGATGCAATAAGCGGTATTTTGAGTATACTATGTAACTTCTGAGGTGCAACAATGACCAAATGACTGATAGAGAAAAGTAGAAAAAAGCGTAGAAAGCTTACCGTGTCTCCACATTGATATATATGAGCTAACAACTCATCGTGCATGAACTGCGTAACCTAAAATGCTCCTTATAGTGTAGCATAAAGTATCAAAAACAGTTTTGTATAACACCTGTGAAACAATGAGGTGCATTACGGCTTTGGGTACGAGATCCTTGATGGTTTTCGTGACGATTCTCATATAGGAATCTACTAGATTACGGATTGTTTCTACCTGAACAAATGAAAAGTTATGATTCAGCGTTTTAAATGATTATGAGTCACAATACAAATAACTTACTTGACGCTCCAGCTGTGGATCCATAGAAGTCTCTTCAACAATTTCTTGATTCTGAAATATTTTCGAAAGCATGTGAGATTTTATGTAAACAATCCTTAAACCCTAATAGCATGCACTAAGCCTATTTAGACATGCAGTATTACAGCACAACCCTCAAACACATGCAAACGACTACCTACAGATAATAAGAATCGACATTTACCTCCTGAAAAGTGAATAAGACACATATGGAGTGATATCCAAAGGAAAAGAGCAAAAGATAAAAAGATACTTACCTCATCCTCAGTCGCTACTTTTGATTTCTCAGGATAAACACCGGCACGCAGGAAAGACGCTTTCCATGCATCAACCTCATCCAGATTGTTGCATCCCAATTCTAGTTGTTTGTAGTCTTTGTAGATGTTCCTTAAAAGTGTGTTTCATATGATAGCGTTTAGCGTAGAAAGTGCAGAAGACTAGCCAACTCAGCACATGCCACAGCACATATTCAACAAGAAAGTTCTATTCCACAGGACAGAGAACTCAGGTATGGCAGTTGCAAAAGTATAAATCTCGGAAGCGTGACTTTCGCAAAGATAAAGCTAATCAGGCAAGTCTACGCGTTAACGCTAATTCACTCAGCAAGTAGTTTCATCCCTTTTTATGACTAGACCTATGAACTCCGAGAAACATTCGCAGCGTTTTGAGAAGGAGGACTTTTAGTTTACTCACCAGTACTGATCTGAAAAGCAAAGATTTCAGATTAGTAAGAGACTTTCTTCGATAGGTGTAACGATCAACTAAAGTGGGGAAAACAGAGATTACAACCACCGAAACGTCAGTTCTTGCAGATTACGTATAAGGGGCCGGGCATACTTCACGCGATTTCAGTCGCGACGCGATTTGGCAATATTCCAACTGTCCGTAACTCATTGTAAGCACAATTTGAATGTACAGAAGATAGCGTATTCTATCAACCCACTTAAGTCATACACACCATGCATGTGCAGTTTGCTAGTGTTGCATCTGAAGAGTTCTGGCGAATTGCCAAATCGCGTCGCGACTGAAATCGCGTGAAGTATGCCTGGCCCTTAACTCTGAGCCTCTTGCAGCATTAGTAGAAACGCATCTATCCAAAGTTATCTTGATAACATTTGTAGGGACGATACCAAAAATAGATCAAAATGACAGCTTATCACGATGAGTTTGAACTGAGCTACTTGCGAAGTGGTCAAAACGACCACACCATGAGGAGCATGAAGGTGGCATCCCATTCCCGATATTGTTGAATAGAAGCCTTTGTAGCGATTGCCCGAAAAAAGAGGGAAAAGATGGATAGATGGAGCAGCTGCCTATGTCTCCAGCATACTCGATTAGGCCATCAAAAATATGCTATAAAAACAATGCTGCTGCTAGCTCATATATAAGGCACAAAAAGAACGTAACGTTCAAAAACCCCACCGGAACTATCCACTTCATAAGTTATCATTGGGAAGGATAGTGAGCAGTACAGATAGAATAAACAACTATTTTTGTGAAAGTTGCTTCAAGCATTACAGTGGAAAACAGAATCTATGGAAAAATGATTCAAGGGGCTAACACCGTGGATTTAACCCCTTACTGCAATAAGCGGTACGGATGAACAAGGGATAGAGCACGCTAACAACGCTAGTGTCACACTATTACGATACGACACTGATCGCTCGTGCGCTTACGTGAATTGTTAGCTTTCTATGACGCTAACATACACACTTACTTCCTGCAAAAAATTAGTAGTGAAATTATCAAAATCTTCTCATTGTTAGCGATGCTGAAGTGTGATGCAATAGATCAAAGCAAAGGATCAGATTAAAGGACAAACGTTGGATAAAAAGAAATAAAAGAAGTAGCCACCCCAGTTACCACATTCAATCACATATTTGCGCCACTGACTTTGTGCGCCAACTTACGTTCTGAAACGAAGCACGCAAAAGACATTGGTGAATGGGAAACATAAGTCAAATGATGACTAAGAATTGTTACTCGGCAAAAAGTCAAAATAAGCCAAGCAAAGAAGATTTTAAATAAACCAAGCACTTACTTTCCATCTGGGTAGAAAAGAGCAAATTTATGCTGACGGGACATGAAACCACTTTCGATGTCACGCAATTTGATGCCATCTAACGGAAGCATGTATTTCTTCTCCTTCTCCTAAACATAGAATGTTTGGAATAGTCCACCATCGTGCATAGTGACTAACCTCATCATCCTTGAACCAACTTAAGCTGTCAGACATCAGAACAAACCAACAATCCTTCGAGCCTTTGATGAACGATATGTTATTTATGGACAGCCATCCTTTGCGTATGACTTGTACACCAAGGTTCTTTTTCGTCGATTGCCCTTGCGATGCTTTAGCCTCAGCACTAAAGATACCCATTTGGGAAAAATTATAAGAGTCAAGTATCAAAAATTAGCAACGCTTACTTGCTGAAGCCTATGAAGTCCTCGTGATTTGTATTCATATATGCGAGTTCGTAATCAACGATAAGTGAAATTTGACTCTTTGCATATTGTTCCTTTTCGCGAACTCTTGTGACAACAATTCGTTCAATTTCGTCACGAAGACGTGGATAGCGTGCAAGCTTGAAAAAACTTTATATAGCACAACCACTTGACTCGCAAAACTATTCAATAGACAGTATGGAAGAAAAGCAAACAAAGTATGACAATGAATGAACTAAGAAAACTGGACTCACACACTCAGCACACTGTCTGATAACATTGGCAAGCTCGTTGACAACGAGATCGACGCATTTCAATGATGGTTCCTTCAATCGGGCAATCTGCTTCTTTGCGATAGCTTCGAAGGCCATGTCAGGTGTGAAGAGACCGACCCTAAAAGGTAGGTATTGTTGCTTAGAATTCTAGTCAATAATAACTCTGCTATTTGCAAGAAAATGATGTATGCCAGTTATGCCATGGCTTAAAAATTAAAGCAGAATAAACGCAGATCAAATGTATCCGGACAACAATAGATGATGATGACGAGCACCAACTAGCCAATGCACATCATCACCTAGACAAATGCTCAGACTTGATTTTGCACCAGCATGACACTCAACGAACCATGAAGGCACCAGTGCTTGTGACAGCATACCAAAACGGAATGTGACACAAGCACTGGTGCCTAGGTCAAGTCAAGTTCTTAACAAGTGCTTTTCAAAAATCTTTTGACCATAAACTTTATGTACGAAAAAGGAGACAGTGTACAGAAAGTAAGGCAGACCTGATACCATGGATATTCCGGATAGCAAACTGGATCTCTTTCCTCATCTCTTTTTCATCAATTTCCATTTTTACAATTTCGAATGGGAATCGTTCATGGAAAAGTCTGGAACAAGAAGATACTACTGAGAAACTGCAAAACAAGCTACTTGCCTATTTATCCTGGCTCCACCACTAAGTTCATTTGTCGAAACCAATTTTGCTGAAGAACCTTCAATGGATCTTTCAATGTCCATGGTGAACTGTTGCACCATTCTAGAACACTCAGGTATTGGTTTGAAAGAAAAAAGCTTGTACAAGGACTAACTGTAGCAAAGCTTTTGTTTTCCGTCCCGGATCATTTGGCTGGAAATTTTTATATTCAGCAACATCCTTTTCTAGCGCAAAAAGTTTCTTCTGCAAGCTGTCACGCAAAGTTGGCAATGTGTCTCTGAAACATCAATATTTTCCAAAAGCTTCCTTTCAGAAACCTACTACCTAATGTGGTTCGTCAATTGCTGATTTAGGGTATGCTGAAGATAGCTAGTACCTAGCCGATCGGCCATATGCCTGTAATAGTAAATTAGTAGTAGTGACACTACAAAGTGTAAAACAAATAACAATATTCATGAAATACTAGAGCAAAAAGCTCTGAGTCATAACGGTAGAACGAAGTTACCTATATGATGGATGTGACAAGAAGAACTTCCTTTCGGCATCCAAAGCTGAGCGAATATCCTTTTTCCCAACAATATCTTTTTGACCACGATTGACCACTCCGACGTAACCTCAACATATGATGTTGTGAATTTTGCAAGTATCAAATGCTTTGGCACATGAAATATTGGATATTCCTGCACTAAAGACAGCAAAGATTATCTAACTTATCCCTCAACAGCCATCACCAATAGAAAATTTACACAAATTGGTAGTTCTTTTGCCAGACACTATCATTATCCAAACTATAAGCACCTCAGAGTTACCAGACTACTAAGAGGAGCAAGTACGGAACCGAAACTTCTCATTTTGAGCAAGAATTTAAGTTGAATCAATTCATGCGATTTCTTTAAGATAAGCAGTAGAAAAGTCAAGCAGTCTAAAGGGTAGAATAATCAGAAGACGTAAACATAAAATGCTCACCACGTCTCAAAGGGAACAATCGATTCTCCAAAATATCGCGGGCATCGGTGCCTTCATCCATAAGATCCAGCTTTGTCAGCACACCAATAGTACGCAAACCTTGTGGATCAACTTCCTTTAATGAGAGATTATGGAATGTCTAGACTTTATCAATGAACTAAAAGTCACCTTTGCCAGCTTCAATGCATCTGATGTCGCAAGATCACTGTTGGCTGGTGTAACGGCTAGAATCAAGCAGGTTTCCCTGCTAATGAAAGTTAGAATCATTTCTCGAATCTGATGTTCTATATCGGGCGGTTGGTCACCCACTGGAACTTTGGTCAAACCGGGAAGATCAATAAGTGTGAGATTCAGCACTAAAAAGTGAAGATTCACAATCAAAACAAAAGCGATGACCATAAAACATACCATTAGGACTGAAAACTCGCAAATTGATGGGATGAGGTGATATTCCCTTATTCTGGCCTGTTACTCTGTCAGTTTCGTCCTCAATTTCTTTGCGTACTGCATCAAAATCGGTGAAATAATTTCCTTTCTTATGTAAAAACTCAGCATATTCTAAAAATTATGAGTTTCAAGAAATTTTTTTTTGGAAAAAATCAATGAATGGGAAGCTCGGTAAACGAAAGCGAACCATTTCTATCATGAATAAGCTGCAGAATCAAAGGACGTCGTGTCACTATACCAGATCCACGAGGTAGGAAATCTCTGCAAAAAATCCATTCAAATAAACATCCTATATCACCTAGAATCAACTGAGATATTCCTGAACTAATGCATGCGAATTTGTATCTAAAAAAAATCTCGAAAAAGAGTAAAGAATGATGTAAGTATTGAAAGATTTACCTTCCAACAAAATTTTCTAGTACTGATGATTTTCCAGCACTTTGTCCACCAACTACAGCAATTTGAGGCAGTTCAAAATTTACAGTCGTTCCTAGTTGAGAAAATGCATCCTGTGAGTACAAAAAAATGACTTCAATGAACTCTTAACGGTAATGAAGCTTAAGTTGTAAATCATGAAAAGCTTACCTGGACCCTATTTATGACGGGAATGAGCGCTTGCATTCCCTGATTGGCCCACGCCATTTTGCCCGGTAATTTTGGCTAGGTTAACAAATAAAAAACGTAACCCAGTCAAGTCAGGGCAGTTCTGTAACACAAAATTTATGATGGTCACGTTCTTCACAACAATCACAGACGAGAGAGAAAGAGAGCACAGATCAAAAGACCAGGTTTGAGAGGCTTCAAGCAATTTCTTTCGACTTTCAATGCGAAAGAAAACAACAAAAACATCGAGCATTCACTAACTTGGAATAATCCGCGCAAGTGATAACTGTGAGATAAGAAGTTCATTGAGCGAATACGCGTACAAATTTGTCATCAGCAACAATGTGAGTCACTTTGGAGCCAAACGCGAACGCGGCGGTCGAAGCAGCAGCGCCCGCCGTCTGTCGCACCCGTTGTCGGAGCGCTTTTTATCGGGTCAGGTCTCAGAGAAAAAGGCGCGAGGTGTCTTTTCTTTGCGGATTTTTGCTGCACGTCAAAGGCAAGAAGAAGACCAGAGATGAATAGAGAGTTTACTGAGAAGAGTCAGCGATGGTTTAGGTTTTTGTGCATAAGAAGTCTTATCTGACGTAAAACTACAGAACAAAGATGAATCAAATTCAACGCACTGAACAACCAATCAACTCTAGCAAACATTGCAACTTCTGCATAATTGCTGTAAGAATTACTTCTGCAGCTCTTATCGAAGAAAAAGTGAGAAAAATTATGGCTGAAATTAAGTGCGTCTATACTTAGACTGATCCAACTTACTAAACTGTAGGCACAATAACGCAGTCACTGCTCATGAAAAAGCGGAAAGACTAAAAGCTTAAGGAGACAAGTGGCACTTGATTTATGCATTACTATAGAAGACCTACCCAGTTTTACTAATCTAACATGCGCGCAGTTCTAAAAGTCGACTAGAATCCAGATCCAAACTGGATCACGGGATAAGTATAGCCGCTCTTGTAAAGTACAATGTGCAGAGAACAGCTAAAATTGTGAAATATAACAAGCAAACTTTGCGAGCGAATTAATGGAAGCAGTCTCGTATCAAAAACTGCTATAAAGGCCCAACTTATAAATAAAAACAAGGGAATGATTCATTAGAGAACAAACTCTGGGAAGTAAGGTGACGAAACAGTCCATTATATGTCTGAATTTCGAATGATTTGGCATTGCACTAAATCATAAACTTTAGTGTGTGCCACTGAGAAGCGCTGATTAGAATTTCAAAGCAAGAAATAAAACGTTTAGCGGCGCAAAAGACATAAAACTGCTATGACAGTTTTCAGTGCAAAAAAAAAACAAATCTTGGTGTAGTTATAGCAGATGTGTCTAAATCAGGGTCAGGGATAAATAATTTGAATTTTTGAGAAATAATGCTGGAACTTCAGGCATGGGGAGGATACGCTTGCAAAAGTAAGGCCTGAAGGAAAGAATGACAGTAAGAAAAAGTAATCATTGCAGAATTTTTTGTGAGTGATGGCCTATAAGGAAACACAAGAGCTTTGCCCATTCTTACACGCTTCAGCGAAAGAATTCCTAATTTCTCCAATTTCGCAAATGTTGAAATGTGCCTATCCATGACAAATAACAACTGTCACATTTTGGCTAATCCTCCAGAGAATCGCTGAAGGACGAATTGCCCAACACTAGTGACATTCAATTCATGAGAAAAAACAACTGGTGTTGTTATTTGAAAGGAGGAAAAGGCAAGATATTAACAAGTTAGTAAAAACAATCTGAAACAAAGCTTACGATTACATTTTTTGCCACATTTGAGAACTGATGACGTCTGCCTCTTCTCACGGTTACACTTTGGCATTTGTCGTGATGACTCATATATACGCGGAAGGCGATTCCAGTTCCGAGTTTTAAGAACATTTCACCAAAGAAAATACTTAATGACTGACTTGGGAGTTACTGGAACTTTAATCACTTATGAAGTGTAGATGAAAGCACTTCACTGGCAAGAGTAGCGCTGCTAATATAGTCGATTGTGCAAACGCGTCAACGGTCATCGTGGCGGCAGCGACGCGATCAAGATGCCTATGAGTCGCGGCGCCACATCTCTATCTGAGATATGAACACGGAGTCTGTGCCAAATATGAACATAAGTGGGGTGCACATCTTATAAAACCAACTGCTAATGAGGGAAGATGCAAGCATGGCCTAAATGAACTTGTCTGAAGAAAAATCTAAGTGAATCGATCAGTGGCTTACCGAAAACCAAGTAAATTCAAAAGATTTTTGCCCATACGTGCAGAATCCAATCACAGTTTTTCTCAAGCTATACTAGAAAAAAATCGGCTCCCAGATTCGCGTAGACAGGTTGCGGACCTTCCCTGATTATCAGGATGGACTTGTCAAAGGTAGGTAAGGTAAGTAAGCGAATATTTTGTTCAGGTTGGGGTGCGCAGAATTGACGTCACTTGGATTGATGCCAGCATGGTGAGAGACGTCAATTCTGCGCCAGACCCCAACCTGAACAAAATATTCGCTTAATCTGGCACCTACCAAACCTCCACGTTACGGCATTTTTTTTTTGTACTTTCATTGACTTTATCCTTATAATCGGGGAAGGTCTGCAACCCGCCTCCACACGATCTGGGAGCCGATCAAAGAATGATAGCTGATGGCAATATCACCAGTCCATAGGAACAATAAGACGACTAATAGCACTGAAGACACATAAATAATGGCATATGGCTTGTCAGCAATGCGTCTTTTTCTCGCAGCATACGCTCCTCATCAACTTTTTTTTTCTCGAGAATCGATTGCTCCAGCTTTTCCCATGTTGCAATGGAAATGTCATTTTATATACATGATGATCGATGACATCTACGAGCACGTCGGTAGCTAAAGGCGAAATCATTGCGAGGGACATTGCGGTGTATGCTTGAGTCACCAACGCAGAGAAAACACAACGTGTGGCAGCGCGGTTTATGAGCGAAATTAAGAAGAGAGTATGGCAGCAAACTTTTCAGAAAAACCCAACATTTCTTATTTGCACGAAATCCTAGGCGAGGCTTGCAATAAGAAAATAAGGGCTAGGTAGAGATGAAAGAATAATGAAGAAGTCGTATAAAATTTAGAAAATTGAAAGTATAGTGCGTGTGCGGTGGCAACAATGCCTGCGCGTTGACCATAGGGCGCAAAAGTTGGAATTGTGCTCTATGAACATTCTAGACATTTCACTTGATTTTTTTCGAGTTTTTTACTTCGTCCTCGGTATACAATAATAGCAAAATTTATTGCGCTCGTATCAACCGTTCTATTTACACCATAGATATCGTAGATACATCCCCCAGTGTTGTTCCCATATGAGCCATAAACGTGGCTATCTTTCGATCGCTTTAGCAGGTCAACTTTGAATAAGCGCCTTAAATTTGCTGGAGTTAACGTGTTAGAACGATCGAAAGGCAGCCACGTTGATGGTTCATATGGGAACAATTCTGGGGGACGCACCATACTCCATGTGCAGATAAATTTTCCACAAAAATGTCTTATCAATCATTTGTCTCCATTCAAACATATCATACTTGAAGCAATCTCAAAAAGTAGTTCAAGAAAGAAAAATTCCTGGAGCGAAAATCACCGCAGCAGCGCGGCGATGCGGCACGACGCCTCTGAGTGTGTCGCCATAACATGACGCTTTTGTAGTGACGGAATCAATGTTCCTTGTATTTCAAAGCTTTCTGTAAAAGGTTTTGAGATTTTATTCCTCTAATTGCAGCAAACATCACAAAATGATAGAATGAGCGGGATAAGAGTTGGCGAATATTCGGCCGCAGAATGCGTGGGTTGGACGTATGAGCTATTATAGAACAGCCAATCGATTTAAACACATCATCATAGAAGTACAGTTTGGAGAAAAGCTCGTACTAATTGTTTATCTCAGCTGGTTAGCGCAAAGGTCGATACTCGGTCGCGGTCCTTTATGCGATTACGTTACGCGCGCCATGATATTCGATCCTATTTAGGGCGTAGTATAACCATGGAGCGAAATCGCAACCACATCGTATCCACGTGCGAAATGAGTGAAAAAACGTCTTGCAGACCCGACTCCAAGAAATGAAACCGGTCTGAGTGCTCTCAAGAGGGCGAGAAAAGTATGCCGAAGAACAACCTCGTTCTCCTCGGTCGCAACACACAACCCGCGCTCGGCTGTTGGGACAACCATTATCTATTCAGTCGAGTAGTGTGCACGCATTCGATACGAGTGTGTCGTGTATGTGTGCCGGAAAAGAACGACGTTTTCTGGGTCGGGTGCTTTTTGAGCGACAGGTGAAGGCTGCGTTTTGATGTGAGGAAGGGTTTTACCGTACTGCACTGACAGCTGAAGTTTGGAGGGTGGGGGGGGGGGGGGGAGGGGGAGGGGGAAGGTAATTTAGAGCACGATCAAATTAACATCAAGTCTTTCGACTGCTATGAGTGAAAATGCAATGTGAGTCAAATCACAATCACAACAGAGTAATAGCCCTCCCTCAAAAATCCTGGAGTATTTTACAATAGCGTCATTTGTAAATCGTGTGCACTGCACAACACGTGCGGTATCCCACGACATATGCGCTTGGAAATCGCCAGTGCTTCAAAAATTCTCTTCTTTCCCCTCCGTCGTAATCGTAAGTAAGTGAAAGCGAATGATACAGTCATCTTCTCAACATTTACTCCTTTTCAAAGATTTTTTCGAGTAGTTACTAGCAAAGAGTCGTGCGGTGCCGAATGCGGTCTGCAGTCTCACACATTGGGTCACAAATGGCTTCGCTTGACTTCCTGTCGGACACTGTTGCAGTGTTTGCTACCAAGAATACAGGGCGAGGTCAAGCTTACTCTGTTGCGTTATTTGCTCAAAAAAGCGTATAAAATTGAAAAAATTGTCGTCACTTTTTTCCCGGAGATTTCAGAAAAGCAGGTCCCCTCGTAAGCTTAAAAATCCGCCCAGACAATGCCTCCACAAGAATTTTGCACTTTCCGCTAAATTCAGTACATAGCCACCGTTTAGTGTGAACAGCTGCGAAAACAGAAATTTCATAAAAAAAGGAGTTTGTAGGAGATAAATTGGCACCGGTGAATAAGAATACACAAGTTCTTGCGAATTTAGCGAGATATTATAT